GAATTTTATATGTCGGAACAGAGGCAGTATTTTGCATTCCTTCACAAATGTATAGAATTTGAAAGTATATAGATTTTTGGTGGGTTCCCTATTCCTCGAGAGACGCATGATCTTACTTGAGGACGCAGCCCAGGAGTCGATTTCGTGCATCACTCAACCTTTGGTGATCCGTGAGGTCCTGTTCTGTCAGCGGAATGTCGAAAAGGCTCTCCAATTGGAGAACATGGTGTATGGTCAGTAGGCATTTCATATTGAATGAGAAAAATTCATGTTGGAATGGAAAATGGTGTGTTTTACACCAATCGTTTTATAAATGACGTTTCAAACGTCATATTATTCACCTTGGATGGAAAAATCTTTCAAATTGGCCGGGAAAAGGTGTAGTAACCTTCGCGTTTGGTCGCGGTATAGTCGCGCAGCCATTCCGCATGTTAGTTCTACATAAAGTTGATCATGTGCGACGAAGTCAATATATGCTCCTGGCAAGGAACATCTTTCCTACATACAGGTACCGTAGTTTTGTTGTTAAGTGGGAACTTTGGAAACCTCTATAATATGTATTTTTTTACATATGCAATTTCACAAGAACCTCAGCAAGGCGAAACAACCTTAAAATTAAATAAATATCGAGTTTGAAAGAATATTTTGAGGTGCTTTGCGCGGGATTTTAAACCATGGCGCGCAGCGGTCATCGCAAAGCAACAGGACGTCCATCTATCAAGAACACAGCTCGAACGACACCATTGTACAAAACAGCCACTTTCACCATGTCACACAAGCTCTGTATTATGAACGCTGCGAGAGACAACTCAATTAACTACGCATTGGACACCTACTTTCGTGGAGTTTCGGGTGCACCGGGTAAGACTGCATGGAAGCGAGTCTATCGTTGGGAGCAAAAGCGGTCGTCGATTGAAGCTGCTGCAAACAAACCAAAGGCTGAATCTTACCTTATGTTTATTGACCACTGCCCATGGATGAGTGCCATTTGTTCAGGGACTCATCGGAATACCAAGGCCAAGGTGAACTGCCGGTATCCGGCCCCGCAAAACCAATGGGCGAGGCCCGAGGGCGGTCCCAAAGGCTACTGGAAGCGCGGGCCATTTGACTGTAACACCCTCTCTTGACCGACTTTCGTACAGTAATGCCAATTCACACTCATACATGAGCAGCAGCCATTATCCGGATCATATCCGGATGGGATCCATTCCGAGTTGCAGCCAATCGAAGTTGTATGTGGCGTCGTCAAGAACGGCATCGGCATGTGCATTGAGAGGCAAGGGCGAGTTGCGCACGCGCCGGAAGGTAGAGTTCAGTAGTATTGAGTCCTGACATTATTTGGTGTTGCCGTAAAGCACTGTCGTTCGAGGACCTGTACTTCTCGACTGCTAAGCATGCGCTGAATGGCGACGAGGCCAGGGACGCCGATTCCGATTTGCTTCGTGAGTCCTGTGACGGTGAATAAAACATTATCGCGTTTTTATGCTTACAGTTTGCGACAGCAACAAACGACCCAATTAATATCTTATCAACTTCAAGAAATACTGAATCACAAAGATGGTAGGATGTCAACTTTAAAAACGCCGCCTTGAGCTGTTCCTTAACCTCAGGAAACTTTGTCAGGTACGTGTAATGTCGACCAACATCGCCTTTCACAAGAACCCACACCATTGAAGTAGGCTGAAGTTCGGAATGGTGTGGTGGTGTAAAAACGACAGTATGACCACGACCTTTAGCCATCGCCACCACCACTGGCAGAATGTTCGCATCAATATACGCCTTCAACTTGGACCAAATAACACTCTTGTAGTCGGAGCCCAACACGGGGATGCCGTACAATCTGCAAGCTTCCAATAACGCACCTTTGCGCTGTCGACTGGATGGTGTATTATCCGGTTGCCCTTTGTGATATTAGCATTGTCCATGAAAATCAGGGCGTTGGACACGCCGATGTCGTCCAGCTCGTCTAGTAGCCTGGCAAACCACCGCACATAGTTAGTAGTCATGGGTGAACATCCCACGGTAATCCTTTGGCTCCTGGCGCGTTGACTTCCCACCAGTAAAAATGTCCAGCGCCAAAACTTGGCTGTGGATGGTGGGGGAGTCAAGAATGGCAGCAACAAAGCAGTATCTCCGTCCTTTGTACTTCTCCTTTGCCACAATATCCAATGTGGTTACGGCACTTGTAGTGGTGGTGGATGTAACTCGTCTGTGTAAACGACTTGTTGCCGTTGAGTTGATGTCATATTCGGTTGCATACGCTGCACATATGCGTCCCGCGCCAGTGTGTTTTTGCGCGACAAGTGGTATGTTGATGACGCCTTTTTTATCCTCGCTTGAATCCCTACCGGCTCAGGTACCTCTGCACAGACCGGAGGACAACTTTGTAGGAGGTCGCGTCGTTGACTTCAAAGTCGATCACACACTTCTCCTTTAGGTACATGACGACATCGACAGCTGTCGTCCTTGTGCACGTTGCGCGACGATTGCGCACGAACTCTTGTGCCATGGCTACCACTTGCTTGGTTCGTGGTATTTTTGTGCTGTGTGATGTGGTGTTGGAAGGTGGAGCTACAACTGTGACTGATCCCGACGACAAGTACTCTCGCCAAACATCCTTGACAACACCCAGGCTGCGACCGAGTGCCTCGGACACTTGACGTGCTGCAGCCTTGGATTTTTGTCCTCTGAACCATGCGTGCAGCCGGAGGATGTCAAGTCGTTCTTCCCGAGTCAATGTGCGATGACAAGCGGCTTTGACGAAGGCAAGACAGGATTAAATTGAAGGACTCATGAGCTTGCGATCAGAATTATGATGTTGCGCATGGATATGACCTTGCATTCGACTCTATCTTGTTTTACGTTGGCAGGTTGTAAGATTAAATAGGTCCTCCATTATGACCATCATAAAAACTCTGAAAATGAATATTATATTTGTTATACAGGTTATAGAGTGCCAGGATGAATATGACAAACATTCATGGTTTATTTGTAGCATATCTCAAAGGTACCTGATTCTGTAGAATTTAACTTATAATGGTTTATTGTCCTCGACTTTTCCAATGCACCATACAAAACCCCACATGAATTCAATGCATATTGGTTATTGGAAAAAGACCGTTTGATGCTGTCGCAAACTGTTAACTCTTGAATTTGTATGTGTTAATATCGTTTGATGTCATCCACTGAATTTCAGCCAATAAGACTGAGCAATATTACCCCTACCCCGTTCACTCTCTTTTGCTTCTTTTTCGGACTGCATGCCAAGGAAGAGTATTTACAGTAGTCCACACGAACAGGGAACCTTTCGTCCCAATACGTTTCTAAGGGTATTGCCTCAAGACAAATATAAAATATATAGAAAATTTTGGATGGGTACACGAAATCAGATTGGTCTAGTTAAAACATATGGTACTGGGAAGTGCTTGGATTGAAACATGTACCTCATCATCATAATCGTATTCAGGTGGATTTTACCCTGTCAACCTCCAGAAGACAAATCCACCATCAAGGACAATATGAATTAGATTCCTTACAGCTTACGCATACTCTCAATCAACTCATAACCACTGCATCCAATATATTAGTATGGCACCAGCAATTCACTATTATATCTTGGGTAACACGTTGCCAAGCTTCCTTGGTCCATTCCAATGCTTGCAACTGGGTCACTTCACGCAATTTGCTAACACGAGACACAAAGTTCTCCTTGTCATACTCATCTGCAGTTTCGGCCGATTTCTCGAACTTCTCGACCTAAAGCAACGTCCTGAACTCACCAAACTTGTTATTGAGCGCCTGAATAATTCCAACATCTTGCGGTTGCAGGAAAGCCGTAATGTTCGGAGGCGAAACATGCTCAGCAACATTCGGCAACAGTTCTTCGTTAGCAATGGGAACACGCATTGTCGAGAAAAACAGTACATGCCGGTCTTCACGCTGCATTGTCGATCCCTTCTTTCTAGCGCACCCACCAAATCACCTGGCTGCTTCGCCGCACTGAAAATAGGAACGGCCACTTGATTCTTCCGTCAGCGTCGCTTGTACCGCACAGTGATGCGCTTCTTGATCTTCTTTCGATCGGGCATGCGTGCGGTCCAAATGGCCTTCGTCTGAGCGGTACAGTAGAAGTACGTGGTTTCATCGAAGTTGAAAATGTCTTTATTTTCGTAGGCTTGTGTGGTTTCTCGCAACAGCTTCGTCTTTCGTCAACAGCTGCTGGATTTGATGACGCCGCTTCGCTGTACACACGCCTCGACTTCAGGTTGTGGCGTAGCTGGAAGCGATGGAGTCATCCGTTCGAGAAAACCATGGAGTCGAGGCGAGGGTCGCTGACATGAATGAAATTTTGGAGCGCTGCTCGGATCGCCATTGCCTTGGCACGTATGGTAGGTTCACTGGCGATCGGGACCTTCCACACTTCGCACTTGTTTATCCAAGACATGAGTTGACTCTCCAGTTGTTGTAGGTGCGGAAGGTGTGTTGCCTTTAGCGACGGGTGGATGTCCTTTTTGTCGGTTGGACTATTGAACCACCTCGACATTGTCGACTTTTGGGGCACACGCGGAAGGCGTTGCGAGCAATACAGCACCCTTCATGCTGGGATACGACATGTGGTGCTGAAGCTGCATCGCATTGCTAATTGTAAGTCTCATCCTTGTTGACTTGTGATGGCATTTTGATTCCAAGCGTTTCGTCTCAACCTGTGATGCAAAATTCTCTGTCGAAATTTGGAACTACGGCTTGGTATTTACTACCCCTGTTTCAATGTACTGTCGACATGTATGAATCGCACTTTTTTCCAAATTTGTGATGAAATTTTATTCATTGGCTAACCATACAATACATGCATGTTATTCGTTAAAACCTACACGGTTGTTAGCTCAGATCACAAGCGCCGCAGGGCAGGACGCATTCGCCATGAGGGTCCCAGCTCGTCGCAAAGCATCCATTCCCATCCGAGGTAAGCGAAATTGGTTGTCTTCATGATGTTCCAGCACAAGTTTCATCACATCCTGGTATGTCAGAAACACATTTTGCAGCTTCTCGACTTCTTGTTGGTCGAATGTAACAAAGGTCGCTTGTGCCACATCATCGATCATGCGACTCACCGGCGTGTATTGTAGAGCTTGAATCGACGAAAACAAGACCAGATCTAACACATTTAGATCTAGACTGTTAGGTGGCTCGCGGCGAAGAACGAAATGCCATCCGTCGAACGACACATGCGCCAAGAGTTTGTCTGTGATGGCGCCATGGCGCGTCGCGTTTTTCTGCTGGAGAATGACATGCTTGTGAGTACTCGGAAACTCCTTGATAGCGGGAATAACACGTGTGAAGACGTAGTCGCGGTACAAGGTAGCGTCAAAGTTGGCCAAAGTCATCACTATCGTGTCAGCAGGCCGGTGTGAGATGAACGAGCCGTTGGAAGGTACTTGACCGCCGGCCACATGCCAATCTTGCCGTTAAACATAACACCACGCTCAACACCGTATCTAGGTCTGGCTACTGCAGCCAAGAACATGGCCTTGGGCATAAAGGGCTTGCTCTTCCAGCTTTGTTGGTGGGGTTTCTCACCAAGAACATGGTAAACCTTTCTTCTGTCTTTATCGGCAATAAACCACTTCTCGTCTAGATGAACCACGTCCCACAAGTCGTCAAATTCAAATTGGGGGCCCACGAGAAAACCGGCTCCGCTGGCGGAATGCGCGACCGAAATTGATACGTTCTTGCTAGTTTTGAGGCGTACGAAGCGGCTTGATGCGGGTGAACTGGCGTTGCAGGGTCCCCTTTTGAAGACTGCGGTGGAGTGATCTCAGAGAGATGCCAGTAGCGGCAGAGATGTTCCGCATTGTGGATAGTACAGAGTCGGGTACGTTACTGACAAGTTCCGTTATTTTAACTTACGTGTAGATTGGCTTACGGCCGACGCGCCCCAATTTCGACGACATGTGAATTGTGCCTTGTTTGAAAGACATCCACAGTTTAGCCACGGTGGTGCGGTGCAATTGCATGATGCTGCCAGTCGCTGAGATTGCTCCACGGGCCAACTTTCCTGCAGGGATGTGCTGTTGTAGCAGTCGAATGACAGC